GGAGTAGAAGAAGATATACAAGAAGAATATGAGTAGTCCCATTGGATGGGTCGGGTAATGTTACAAGAGGAATAAGGGGAAGGACCGGACTTGGCTAAGTACGGTCCGTATTTAGTATTTCTAATATACAAGATAATGAGGTCAACATATAGATAAGAAGCGAGATGAAATAATATAGCCGAGAGCGGCGAACAATATGTAGGTTTAAGGGAATAAGAAAAGAGAATGACCGAGAGTGGTCGATAGGTTATTTAGCAGCTGGATAAGGCTCCGCTGGAGCCGTTACCTTATCCGGAAGCCGGGGCTTCACATCATCCCCTCTGGAGTTACAAGCCTCCGTGCTTGTTTTAGTTGATTGGGACTCGTCCACGTAATCAGCGATCATTCTCGTTGTTGCCCATCAACGTGCCGGATCCCTTCTTGACATTGTTACTGAAGTGCAGTTTGTCTGGTCGGCCATAGTATCTTTTGAGTCGATCCCTGTTGCAAGCGCCTCTAAGGACATATCCGTTTGGACTTTGTAATCTGAAACTTCCATTGGGGTTAGTTGAGTGTATTACGAACGGGCCATCCCATTTAGGGTGCAACTTACTTGGTTGGTTTTCGAATTGTCTTAATACTAATTCTCCAGGCCTCAAATTGCGTTCGAAGTATTTTGCTTCGCTTTGGGTCAATCTGACCGTTGCCTTCAAGTTTATTTTGTCGATTTGTCGTTGTCGTTCTTCTTCGAATTTGATTGATCTCTTAGTTTGTGATTCTGTTCGATCTTTTTGATAGGTTACCGCTACAGTCGGTTCCACGCCGTAGCACATATAAAAGGGGGATCGTTCTAGTCCTCCCGTCTTTGATGTTCGGTAACCAAAAAGTGCTAAACCCAGATGTAAATCCCATTCAGCTTGTTTGTCGGGTACGCACATCTTTCTTATACTACCGACTAACGTACCATGGAGTCTTTCAACCAGTCCGTTAGATTGAGGGTGATATGGGGAGATCTTGTTATGTTTGATGTTGTGGTCTGCCAAGAATGCTTGATATACATTACCATTAAATTCGCTCCCGTTGTCCGTTGTGATGGAGTGAGGGAAGCCATGGTTTTCACCAATTTGACAGCCGCCAGTCCTGATCTCGCCGGTAAAGCTGTGGCGTATGCCCATCCTGTCCCATAATCGATCGCTGTCACTAGATATTGGTTACCTCGTGGAGTTTTCGGAAAGGGTCCTACAAAATCCATTCCCCAAGTGACGAAAGGTGCCTTTCTTTCTATTACTTGTAGATGTAGAGGCATTTTGTTTCGGTCGGAGTTTGGTTTACAAAATTGACATGATGTACAGGTCTCTATTGCGTCTTCGACTATCTTTCCCATGAATGGAAAGTGGCATTCGGTCCTGAGTTGAAACAGAGTGTCTCGTGCGTTTCGATGACCGAGGCGGACATGAGTCTCTAGAGCTAATTTCTTAGCACGATCTAAGTCAGTGATGACGATTAGATCCGGTCTATTCTTGTCGGTTTTGTACAAGTCACCGTTTTTGAGGGTGTATCCCTTAGTTTCTAGGGCATCTCCGTGCTCATTTCTGAGCTCTTGAAGTCTCTTGAAGGTATCTTCTATTACCGGTTCAATTGAGAACAACGAATCTGTGATTTCCGGAGGTTCTTGGTCGGCGGGACCATCCGGTTTCCTAGACAGAGCATCGGCTGCTATTTGTTCGGGGACGGGTCGGTAGATTATGTGTACCTCAAAGAATTTGATTTCGTCTACAAACCTGGCGAGTCTTCTATTAACATGTTGTTGGGTTTTAAAATACTTTAGAGATTCGTGGTCGGTTTGTACTAATATCGGTGATCCTTCGATATAGCCGCGGAAGTGTTTTAATGCATGGACGATTGCTAACAGTTCGCTTTCTTGAGCCGAGTAGTTTTGTTCTGTCTTTGATAACTTTCTAGACTCGTACGCAATTGGTTTCAGGTTGGCGTTCTTGACGGTTTTCGAGAATTGTTTGAGATTGAAATCCTTGTCGATGGTTTCTCCATTGGGATCTTGTTGGAGGACTGCACCTATATTTTGGGCCGGAAGCGTCGGGTATCGTAGGACAAACGGGCTGAAGGGTTTGGGATGATGGAGAAGGACCGTCCGTGTGAGGTAGTACTTGAGTTTCTTGAAGGCTTCGTCCTGATCCTCCCCCCATTCAATATCTGCTCCCTTCTTGGGAGATACCTGAGTCAATTTGTAGATTGGAGTCGCAATTTTCGAAAAATCCTTTATAAAACGCTTGTAATATGTAGATAGGTTCAGAAAACCCCTGACTTCTGTGATGTTCTTAGGTGTTGGCCAAGATGTAATTTTTTTGATCTTCCTATCGTCGACATTGATACCTTTGCCCCCCACTATGTGTCCTAAGAATAAGAGCTGTTTTTGTCCCCAGGTACACTTCTTTTCCGAGACTACCAAATCAAATTTGCTAATTAATTCAAAGACTTTTTGGATATGTTGTTTGTGCAATTTTTCATCTTTAGAGTAGATGATAATATCGTCCAGATATACAAGTGCAAACTTACCTAGACAATCTCGCAGGATATTATTCATCATATGTTGGAAGGTTGCCGGGGCATTACATAACCCAAACGGCATTACGAGGAATTCATACGCTCCATTTCTCGTTGCGAATGCAGTCTTCGGAATCGATCGATCTGTCAACTTTACTTGCCAGAATCCTGATTTGAGATCGATCGAACTGAATATTTTTGCTCCCGCAAGGAACTGATAAGCGTCGTCAATTTGAGGTAAGGGGAATGAGTCCTTGATTGTTAAAGTATTCAACTTTTGGTAATTGACACATACCCTTGAACTCCCGTCGGGCTTCTTCACCAGAATAATAGGAGCCGACCAAGGCGATTTCGATGGTCGGATGATTCCCTCCTTCAAGCCGTCTTCGACAAATTCTTCAATCAGAAGATGTTCTGGTGGTGAGTATGGTCGGCCGTGTATTTTGGCCGGTGCGCTGTTGCCTGTGTCTATGTCGTGTTCGAATACTTTATCTTTTGGTAGGCCTACGACTTCTCGAAACGCTTCCGGAGCCGTCCCGTATGCGATCTTTTCAAATTCATTATCCAATGAACCCAGTTTCGTCTCACAGACTATAGAGTTGAGGAGATCGTCTTTCACATGATAGCTTAGGTTGTAAGGCTTGACGTGGACGACTTTATCCTCTGCGTCCAAGAATGTGTAGCTGAGATCATCGTAGTCCGGGACCGCTCGTGTTTGACATAGCCATGGGAGTCCTAAGACAAGGTCCATTTTGGGCAGGTTGATCAGGAAAGCTTCAATTTGTGTAACGTTATCGTCAATACACAAGTCAAATTTTGCCTTCATTTTCACCTGTTCGATATGGCCATTGGCCAACCGTACGTTCCGGGGTTCTACATAGACAATCTCGATTTCACATTGGCTGTATAACTCATCTGCTACAGCTACATCCAGGTAGACTGCTCCTGCGCCTGAGTCGATGATAGTGTCGCAGATGAGGTTTGTCACTCCAATTCTTCCATTCCAAATGGAGGAAAAAACGTTCACATCATCCA